AAGGAACATGGATTTGCCATTATGGGATTGAAAAAAATGATTTCCATAGTGCCAAATCCTTTTGGACATCTTGAGTTATCCGGATGTAGTGGTTAGGGCGCTTAACCCCAATTGTAATGTTGATTAGGCGGCGCAGAAAAACTCGGCCAGGTATAATAGCGCAGCATCCAAAATTCAGTAAACCAATGAGCGACTGAAGCTCCTTCAACGTTACTTTTATACATGACAAAGTGTGCTCAATTGTTGACAAACACTTCTGGATTTTTTCTTGAGGAAGCCTGGCCTCAAATGCTAAACAATCTAGTTCTATACCCGCAAAACTCAATAAGTTACAAGGTCCTGCCGTCTTCTCCTGCGCTATAGGAACCCCGAGCTCATTGCAAAGGTCAAGAAAAAGAGCCAATTGTGATCCACAACGAGAAAGCGACTGATCGATTATCAAAAAATCATCCAATATATGAATGATATTCTCTACACCAAGTTTGTGTCGTGCTATCCACTCTAACGAAGAAATGAACTCCAAAAAAATGCGGCAAGAGGAGGAGCAGCCCATCGGCACGCAACGGTCAACATACCATTTCCCTTTCCACTGAAACCCTAGCAGCTGATAATCGGAAGGGTGAACCGGTATAATGCGGAAGGCACTTTTAATGTCGGTTTTTGCCAGTGCACTGCCCCTCCCAGATTTCTTGATCAAAGAAATAGCATCATCGACTGTGGTATAGTGATCAGTTGAAAGTTCTCGGGGGATTCCGTCATTCACAGAGCTACCCTCCGGGTATGACAAATGTTGAATCATTCTGTATTCTCCTTTAATTTTCTTCGGTACTACCCCCACTAGGGAAACCCATAAGGGGTCTACAGGAGGGGTGTCGAATCAATGACCCCGGGGAACTTCCGAGCAGACAGAAGGTTAGGTGCAAATGAGCTTTTCCTTTCCCAACGAAATCCAACTTAAAACCCTGTGTAAATCCGTTGATAATCTTGTTTCTAAGCATGTGGTCATAGTCTTCTAAATGATGAGAAAGTTTAGCTGCGATTACCGGAGTTGGTAGAATTTGGGGGTTCATTAGGTTTACTTGACTTTTGCCATGGTCTAGTTTGTGGGCATCGTGAGATAGCGTGGCTGCCCCCATATCTGAAACAAGTATGCTTGAAAGAGCAACCACATTGGGCACCTGAGTGAAATTTGAAACACTAACCCCGAGGGGTGCTAGAAACGCCCTGTTTGGGACGGAAATTAGCCTGAGCTCCGGGCTTAGGAACTTTATGAGCCCTGAGCCATATCTCTGAATGAGTCCGGCCCC